GTTAACACGTTGTTGACGACCCGCGCTATTTTTCGCTGTCTGGCGTGTGGGACCGCGCGCATTATTTTGACCGCGCGAGTGTGACATGACATCATGTTCACGGTCCCACGAGAACTCCTTTTTCTCAGGAAGTGTGTATTTGTTATCTTTCTTGTGTGGTAGGTCTCCGATTATGCGATTTTGGCCATTTTAGCGATTCCTGTGATTTGATCATTATTCAAACATTTTTAGAAAAACTCGATAGCCCATCAACCGAAGCTTCTTTCCAGGGACCACGCCTTTTGTAACAATGCCTAAGTATGGCGCATACATCACGTAAATAAGTTACCTAAAATGTTTGAAAACCAGCTTAAAAAAGACTGTGACATGACATCATGTCACACGGTCCCACGTGGCCGAAAGAGTGTGGTATGACATCATACCACACGGTCGTCAACGTGTTAAAAAGGTTCACGATGAACCTAACAATAGAGCGCATCGCGTATATTTCGACGAAATTATGAACAAATTGTTTTCCCAAAGTTTCTGTTGTAGCATTCGCTAACTTTGGGAGGAATTTCGTTTAAAATTACGGAAAACCCAGGCTTCCCTCCCGCTCTAGAAAAAAATGCAATGACGCAAAGCATCCGAAGCTCCCGGAAATTGTATGAGGAGGGCGTAGCGTATTTTTATCTTCGAAAAAGTTATCCTTTTCTTAGTTGAAATTCGAATGCTAGCTATTCTAACCAGTGTTCTTCATATTCCAGACTTGGAGGCCCCTAATGCTACCGTGACGACTCCTGATAAACTTTACACCACCACACAGCGGTTCGCCCTCGTCACCTTCCAGTCAGATCCTGTCGTTCAAAAGACTGGATTTCAGTTCGTATACCAGTCTGTCTTCAGTGAGTGCCACAGTTCCGGGTAGGGCTATGGGTGCTTCACCGTGGCCTTCTAAAATTAAGGATATGTGCGTTGATAAGGCACAGTCTAGTCTAGTGAAGTGTGTTTGGTGAAGTTTAACATCCTGTAGATCATCGCATCCGAAAATGTTATCGCATTTCTGACTCGCAGTAGCATTTAACCCCTATAGGAGCTGCTTATCCCCCTTCGTAATGGGTACAAGTGCCCATCGCTCAGACACAGATAGCTCATCTCGCCCATCGGAGCTCAAACGGAAAGCATCCTAGAAGTACCGACTAGCCCTTGTGAAGGATATTTTTTGATGAATTGACTGCGTGCGACCGCTCTTATCTCAGGCATTAGGCCGCGTGTTCCACGGTCCACGACTAGGAGAGTGGGCGAGAAATATTAGGATAACAGGATATCAAGATATCAGGCGGGACTTCGAATTCGATGATTAGGAAGTGAGTGAATAAAAGGCAATGCGCTGGACAATAAAGAAAGCAGCAGTCCGGAAATAGCATGTGCATTGCGACATGAAACACTATACTTAGCTTCCAATCGAAAGCGAGGTGGGCGCTTAACGACCGAAGGTGGCGCTGGTTGCCGGAATCAAGGACTTCGACAAGCGCTTTCCGCCCCGTCAAAGTTTAGTTTAGTGATTTAGAAAAGTAGTTGCGCTGGCCAGCAGCGCACATACTGAACCAACTCGACTTGAGGCGTGTTTGGGCAGAGTCCACAATTAAAAATTTCGCATGGTGAACCCTTTCAATAACTCTGTGCTAGGGCTGTATCCCTGTTTCAGAGAGTGATAGCCAACAAACGGCTTGAAAGGAGGGTCCAGTTTTTGCTTTACCTGACCGAAGCGGTTTCTGTCTTTTATTCGAACACTGGGTAGCCACATGCGTCACCAACGCCCTCTCTCTGAAACCTCCTTGCAACACACTTATCGTATATCCGCTGCCTCCAAGCAAGGATATGCGTCCACGTCGACTTCGCATCAGTAGCTACCTCTCGTCATGTCAGCCTTTCCTATTGCTGACGAGATCTCGGAATCTTCTATCCTGCAGCAATCTCACTCGATATGCACCTATCTAATCTTTTCACAGAACAGCGTCTTCCATTTCCACCCATTTCCATACGATTGATTCAACAAAAAAAGGTTCCGATGCTATAAGCAGGGTCAATCTCCTTGTGAATCTNCCAANGGAGGAGATCCTATTTCCTGATACGAGTTTCGTATTTTTGTTTGCGGTGCAATGTTCCCAGAAAGGGGTTGTATTTGAAATTTTCAGAGAGGATTGCGGTCGTGGAAGTTCGAGGTTCTGAGAAGCTAGTTAAAAGAGGATCCTTTCTGAGGGTTTTTTTTTCAAGGAATTGGCAAAGTTTTCACGAAAGGTGCATGAAATAGGTAGAATTAGAGGATTTGCCGTACACATGTACCCCTCCCTGTCTCGATGGGGCTTCTGAAGGAAAATTAGTGGTGGATTTGGAGGAAGCAACACCGGAACGGAATGCCATAGAAATCGTGGTATTGAGACTCCCACACCCCCTAGTGGGGTATCGTAACATTTTTGATAATGTTAACCCTCTACCAACGGGTGAACCCAAATCTAAAGAATGACTAGCCGTATTGATAGCGTACCGTTCAATTAGTCTTAACCATCTCTTATAAATTATCAATTCACTTCGAGATCTTTGTTCCAGGCCGCGACATCCAATGCAATCGGAAGAAAATATTGTGGCTCATAGCTGAGGCCTTTTACTGTCGGAAATGCAACAGGAGAAAAATTTCAAAAGTGGCCATTGTAAAAAGGGGGCTTTCTCAAGGGAAAGATGAAGCAAGCAGTGATTGTTTCAGCAAAAAAGCTCGAATGTCGTTTGCCAATAGTGGGCTCACATCCGTACATGGCAGGTTGGACCTCGAACATAGCATTCGGGTGTAAAAATTCTTTGTGGTGAAGTACATATCAGATGAGGAAACATAACATCCCTTAATCCTGCTCTCTGAACCTTCGAAGACCACGCCCTTCAATGGATGCGTGGTTTCTCTTCTTTACCTTTCCGTAGGTCTAGAAATCTGGGAGTTCCATTGATTGCAAGGAAAACTTGAGATTCTCAAAGGCAAGCCCCAGGGTTAGGCTCATTAGGAGGAATTAGGGAGTGAACTTTGTAGGCCTTTACCGCGAGGTCGTGCCAGCTCGCTGCACAAATGCACGGTTAAGGCACCAATTGTTAAGGACTTGCGCAGTTATCAATGGAACCCTTTCCCCACGTGGCGAAAAATCCAAAAACTCGCGCTTTCGTCAACCCACCAAGTGGATTTGACACTACTGCTACAGTTTGTTAATGTCCATTAATCAGTACATGTATCGAGAATATTGGCAGAAAAACGCCAAACCTCATCGTAGAATTTTTTGAAATTTTGTAGACTTGCCGAAACCTTCAACGTTATTCGCTGACAGTTTTTACCGAAACTGTGCGAGCTCCCTCTTGATTTCGTCGTTATAAATTTTTCTGCCCCACTATGTGAAAGTTGTCATAAAAGGCATCACTTTCAAGGTAGACGCAGACTATGCAGTAATTTGGACAGCAGAAGATTTGGCGAGTAACCAACTGCTAAGTGAAACCGTTCTTGGACTGACTGAAGACGTCCCTGATGTCCTGCAGAACAACAATACCAATCTTCAATGGTGAGTGATGTCCTGGCCCTCTCCAATATCGACAGGTGTACCACGAATGTGGTGATGAAGTAATTGTGACAAGATAAGAGTGAGATGAAGCGCTGCAAATGGTTATAATATGTTATAACGAGTGGCGGCAAAATTATTGGATATGGTAGCCTTCGGCGGCACAGTTACAGCTGATAGATTGTACGCTCCGACGGCGGCATGGCACGTCCCACCTTTCGCGGATAAGATTGGTCAAAGGAGGATCCCACGATGAGGTCGGAACTCAATGAAGAAGAGATAAAAGGATAAAGCATTTGCCGTTGATCAATCCCTTTTTGGGATGCGGCACGCATTCTACTTCCATTTGTACATTCGTAGTGGCGTTTGAATGCGATGTGGCCTATACAATGACTTGCGGGGGCCAGCCGATGTACAAGTCAGTGTTTTTATCCTCCCAGACAAGTCTGGTACCAATTAACCGACCCCGGAGGGATGGAAGGCTTGGTTGGCCCGGGCGACTCACGACCCAGGATTTGATCCCCGGACCGCTCGCGTGGTAAGCGTGCCACTTGCCACTACACCACTTCCGCCCTCAAGAAGAGACATATAGAAGAAGAGACTTATACCTAGGGAAAAGGCAGGCGGGTCCCTAAGAGTGTGAACCGACACTCACTAGCTGACCATACACTCAGGTCTCTAGCCGTTTAGCGGATAAAGCGTTAACTTGGTTAGGGTCGCATCAGAGCGGGAGTCAACGAGCAAAGAAGGAGTCCTACCTCCCGTCATCTAGGCTGTTTTTCTTGTTTTTTCCTTCTTCCGTGTTTCACTGACCATATCTGAGCCATTTCCTGAAGAGCTGCCTTCCTATTGTGGAACCCGTCTTCGGAAGAATCGGTCGCGATCAGCTCTACCCTTAGCACAGCTGTCAGGGCACTGTTGCATTCACAAGAAGGCCACAAGTACGCCAACTCCTTCGCTTGACCACTGCAACCGCTGCCACTCATTCATTCGCAGCACATATGGTGTCCGGGCTCTCTCGCACAACGTGCTCTCACCTTTTGCTCTCTTTGCAGTGCTGAGTCTCTACGGCGTACCGCGGTCGATCTTATGGAGGAGGCCCTTGATTTTAGTGTTTTCGATGGTTCCTTCTGCGTTTTTTCCTCACTGAAAGTTGTCTTCGCACCTATCGTTTCATTTTCGAGGGAAATAATACACAAATGTACGGCCTGCACCTTTAGAAGAATCGCACAGGGAAACGTAACGCCTTCGTTCCCACATAGATGTGTCATCTGTGATCACTGGTTGCAATGTTCAAATCCCATGCATGGTTCCATGCACGGCTTACTAAATCTTACCTGACGCGTCGTAGGCAGGATTTAAATTTGAGCTCTCGGAGGGTAGAGGCAAAAGGTGTAGAGCGAAGATAAGAATGCGTTGGAAGGCTGGAATGCTCTCACCATTGTTGAGGGGTCAAAAGTTTTCCCAGTAATGGCACTCAAGGAAAGAAGGATAAGCGTCAACTTCGCATTTGTGACAACCTTTCGTGGAGTCATGAGGTTTCTCTACATGATTTTTTTGAGGGTTGATGCATTGATAGTTCAATAAAACGGTCGATTTTCCTCATTTGCAAGAATAAATGAGTTTGGACTCCCTTCAATTCCTCTCATTTCAGTATCTTCAAGTACGCGCAAGGTGCCGTTAGTTTCGAGGCCAAGGAAAACAAGGAAAGAGAAGGGGTGGAGAAAGTAGTGATCGCGTTCGTACCACAGAACCCCAGGTGAGTACATTTGCACTTGCCATTACAATGGATCGCACCGTACACGCCGTTCAGTGCAATAAACTGCGCGTACGGTACGGTTCTGATAGGTAGCCACAAAACGGACAATTCCGGTCTGAACTCTAAAAATTTTTGGGAATCCTCAGCCTATGTTGCATAAAACTAATTTTCAAGTTTGCTGTCCTCACACATAGTAGCCGAGAATTGTGGAATGATATCTCACTTTACTACCTCTTTATTATTAGGTTGTCCCATAAGTAGTGTCGCTTTTTTCTAACGAAAAACTTTCTCCTGAATCCTCGTACTTTACATCATGTCATAACACCGTTCGAAAGAGAATCGTCTGCTCTACAAGATGCATGTTCCACTTCCACCACTGTTCCAGGGTTTTCAAATTTTAGGCCTGCGAAATGGGAAGTCCCGCCCGACAAAAATTGACCAAACCGACAACTAGCTATAACGTTATCTTCTCTCAGCAGAAATCACTTCATTATATATAAACCAGAACTTTGGTGTGTCGGTTTGTCGGTGTGTGTGTGCGTGTGTCGTTCTGTCCGTCCGGACCGACCGCTCACAAAACCAGGGAGTACGAAGGGCAACACTTCGTGATGTTGATGTCATGATCATGATAACACCCACAGCGGCTATATAAACACCGATAGAGCACACTCAGCCTTATTCTACATGGTGCTGCCGTGGCAGCTGGAAGGAGGGTATGGGGGGTGGGGGGGGGGAGAGGATGCAGGGAAGGAGAACAGCAGCAGCCACCTCATTCTATTATCTGCTTTACACACGTGGAAGGACCACAGCGGAAGACGTGAAGCTTAGGCAGGGAAGCAACGTCCCGGCGGTTGACGGGGGACCAATCTGGTTAATCAATGATGTACTATCTACTTATTCATGACCTCTTCTGAACATTACACTATTAGGGTTTCCCAACAAGTCGCGTCGTTCCATTTCCAGACCTGGTTTTTCAACCAGAACTCGACGGTCAAGCACCATTACCTGAGATCGAGGTCGAAATTTTTTTATAGCCGAGACATTGAAAAACTAGTAGAATTTAAAGAACAAGTCATGACTAAGTTAGGAATGTACGCCTGGTTGATTTTCTCATCTTCTCGGGAAATTTTTTTCAAAGAAATGCGGTCACTTTCGTGGATAAAGCACCTTACTCCTAAACCTAAAATTCGAACTAATTCCCAACAAACATAAAAACAAAACAAATGAGCGAATAGAGCAGAAGAAGTGCTCACAAAAGAACACCAGTTGATATAAAACAATAGCGTTTCAGAGGAAGAATTTCAATTTGAAAATTGCCATGGCTTATCGGTCAGCCAATTCGAAAAGAAACACGGCAAAGCTTTTTCGGCAACCTAAGGAGTGGAATGTTTAGAAGAGGTCATGAGTAAGTAGAGGGTACATCATTGATTGATTTCTCCCAAGGGAAGATAAAGTTAGAGCTAGTTGTCAATTTTTGTCGGCTGGACCTCCCATTTCGCAGGCCTAAAATTTGAAAACCCTGAACAAAGGTGGAAGGAAACATAGCATCTTGTAGAGCAGACAATTCTCTTTCGAATGGTATATGGAGTATGTAAAAGCATGGGATTTAGAAGAAATTTCTTAGTTTGAACAAAACGGATATGATATCTTTCCAGTGGTGACCAAGATTTCTACGAGGCAATGGAATTCGCGCACACAACACGTACAACGGACGACACAAAGGTATGTATCAAGATTAATCTTCCTACCGTGCTGTGGACACGCGATAGCCGTTCAGTCGAGCTTCGAAGCTCAATCCGAATGAAGCCACAGCTTGCAAAGTTAGAGGCATGGGTCGGGAACGAGCTGGGCTATTTTGTTTGAAAACTAGACAAGAATTGCGATGATTAACGTT